TTTTCTCATCTATTGCATTATGGAGAGAAAATTAGTTGATCTAGCTGCTATTATCTATGACTCTATAAAGTGGTGTATCAATGTCAAGACTAAGAGAGCACTTGCCTTTCCTCATTTAATTACTGAGTTGCTTCTGGCCACTAAGGTTCCCATTACTGATGATGAGGAATAACAGCAACCCCGTCAGCCTATCAAGTACCACAAAATGCATGCCAAGTCATCTCGAGTAAAGGAGTCTCTGGTAGAACAAGGGGAAGAAATCAATCAGCCCACCCTTATTCATTCTCCTCCTTTTAATGTGTGGGCTAAGCAACAATTGGATTCATTAGCGGATGCTGTCAAGAGGTTGGAAGAGCATTTATGCCTCATCATGCAACATTTACACATACTGGTCATGACGTGCCTGACTCATCTGTGACACCTTCTCCTATTCCATCCATGGATCCCTCTCAAGCTGAACCCACCACAGAATTGAGCTTCCACTCTACTTGATTTGTGTTATTTTGATTAGTATCTTTATTTCTTTTGCTTTTAGTCCTTTTAGTTATTTTGCTATTTTTTTCTTTGTGACTGTTTCATTTACTATGTAACTGATATTTGATAACACTTTACTTGATGGTTTGTAATTAACTTCTTTATTTCCAACTTATTTACTTATCTATTTGATGTGATTAGCAGGTACCTATTCTCTTGAGGATATGTCACTCTCATTCCTCTATCAAAGTCTTTCTATTTGTCAACTCACCATGTCTATTGGTCAGGGGAGTTTCAGTGTCCCTCTCTCTTCTTGTTTGTTTTCTGTCTTTAAACACTGGGGACAATGTTTAATTCAAGTGTGGGGGAGGGTGTACTTGCTTTTATATTTGTTATTTTACTTGTCCTTGAGTTTGTTTTGTTTTAGGAATTTGTTGTATATATTTGTACATAGTTTAAAAAAATGATAAAACAAATTTTGAAAATTTTGAAAATCTCATAAACATTTTTTTAATCAATTTTGATGTTCTTTTTGGTGAATGTGGCTAAGGTCGAATTGGTTTGAACTTGAGAGAATTACATTTGATTAAAAGTTGGTTCTACCTTCCTAGAATTTTAGTAAATAGGCAATGGATTAAGTTTGGATAATTGATAATAGTTTGTCTAAAAAGCTTCTGAGAATTTTGAGCCTAAATGTTCATTTCCTTTAAGAGAGAGTGCATTTATTATGATTCCATCTCTAAAACTTGTTTTGAATCTTTGTTGAGACTTATAATAGCCATTTGCATACACAAAAATGATTTAGGCATTCATTTCTTTTAGCTAGTATAGCCAAATATCCATCCCTTTTTCACATAAATCATTTGTTTCACCCATTTGAGCCTTGGCCTTATTTTTTTAAAAAAAAATCATCATATGCCCTTTTGCTAAGATTTACCCACTTTTCATCCATTTTTATTCCCATTTACCACTTTGGTTAGTACTAAGTGTTACATCCATAAAAGAAAATGAAGGACTTAGAATTTAGTTAGGATTTGATAAGTGGTTCAAAAGAAAAAAGAAAGAGGAAACAAAAGAAAAGAAGATGAAGAAAGAAGAGAAAAGAATACGGAAAGTTTAAAAAAATGATGAAAAAAAAATCAAGTAAAAAAAAGGGATGTTTATCTTCATTGATACCTCTTGTAAATAGTTGTGGTTTATCCTTCAATTTCAGCACTAATTAGAGTATGTAATTTTAACTCATTGAATAATTTCATTTCATTATCCTACCTAGAACATTACAACCTTTCAAAAGTCCTTTTGATTTGTGTGTGCAATGGCATAATTTAGTGGAGATTAAGATAAGAAACAAGCCTATGGTAGATGGGTTACAATAGGTGGAATTGAGTGAAACACAACCCTTAGACACCTTGACCGTAGAGTGTAAATATTTGACTGGTGAGGGATAATCTATTGGAATTTATCTTTGCTTAATTAAGTGTCTTGCTACTATTATTTTTGGAAGGCAGGAAAGATTTGTAATTAAATTGAGTTCTTGAAAGTTTGAATTGTATTTGACCTTGAAATATTCACATTTTCTTTTGCCATTTTTGTATAGTTATTTTCTTTTACTTGAAGATAAGCAAACATTCAAATGTGGGGGTTTGATGACTTTCAATATTTTATTAAATTTATTAGTATTTTTAATGTAATTGGAAGTCATTTATTGAAATTTTGTTAGCAAAAATATGATTAAGTAGATGAATGTGTGTGAAAATGGGCTTGGAAATATGTTGGAAGTTAGTGGACCAATTCTATCATTTATTCTGGATTTTATGCATGTAGGGAGGCCCAATTTAGAGGCCCAAAGAAAAGAATTTTGGAGCTCAAGTCAAAGAAATTAAATTTAAAAAGAAAATCTGAATAAGTCATGTTTATTGCAGCAAAAACGCGTTTTGCTACAAAAAAGTGCGATTTTAATGAAACGTATAGTTTTGACTCTCAGCGAATTTTGAGGGCTTGAGGCACCTTATGTCAGTTCCAGTTCGTCTTTAACCAGTAGCTGCACGTCCGGGGAGCATTTTAAGGTGGAGAAAGAGTTGGAAAAGCTTGGAGAACACTTGGGTCTTGTGATTTTGTGACAGAAATCATCCTTCCTAAGCTTTCTTCTCCCTTTTCTCTACATTTTGATGTATTTTTTGCTAAATATTATTGCTTCATGCTGTTTTAATGGCTGTTAATGGCTGAACATATTTGACTTAGAGTAACTATGAACTAGTTAGTGGATTAGAACTTGTTTTTACCCATTGGTTATGCTTAATAGTAATTTTGGTTGCTCAATCATGCATTAATTTTTCTATTTAATGTTTGGCCATCATTAAATATGAATTTAGGTATTGGGGTTTTTTCCTTGACAAAAGGGAATCTCATTTAGACCTTTAGATTGAGTAATATGAGATTAGACTATGTTCTAATTTGTAATTAGGATAGAAATATATCTAACTGCCTCATATAATTAAATTAGAGTGAGTTGGAATTAAAGTTGCCTCTTGGATAATTTTTTTAGAAATAACATAATTAATTTGAGAGAGGGTTATTTGAGGTTCAAAAGACCCTTATAGCTATTAATGCTCTAGATTAACAAAATTAGCATTAAAATTATTTAATTGGGTAAAAAGCAAGATGTATGAAGCTAGCAAGGGATTAGCGACTCTAAGTTACATTGAACATTTTTGGTTGTTGGATTGGGAATCTCATTGCATTTTATTCATTTCACTTTTAAATTTTGCTTAATCAATCACTTCTAATTGGTTTTGCTTAACGTGAACAAAAATGAAAAATTTATTGGCTAATTGCTATTATGCTTGATTCCTTGTGGGATCGACCTTGACACACTATTATATTACACTTTGACCCGTACACTTGCGGTGAAACATTTTTTGTGCGCTACTCACATGATAAAAGAATTTAGCAATTTAATTTATTTATATTTTTAAGTGTTAGTAACAATTTGTTTAAGTATGTATATATATATTTTTAAAGAATTTTAATCATCATACCTATAAAACCTTATTGACTTATATGGTAATATAATTATTCTAAATATCTGCAGAGATTCCAAAATCTCACACGATAAAAGATTAAATAATATACACCTAAGTACATTTTTAATTTGATTGATTTAATATAATATATATATATATATATATATTTTAAAACTTAATCGTTATATTCGTAGAGTCTTATTAACCCATACGATAATACGATTATTTAGAAGTCTACGGAGATTCAAAAACCTCACGTGACTAAAAGATATAATCGATAAATGTGATTGCAATTTAAATAAATTAATTTGGTTAATTAATTTTCTAAATTGTGTATTATATGATTATTTATAAAAATCACTTATTTATTATACAAATTGAAAATCACTACATTTGCGAGGACTTATTATCCCACACGATGATATGATTAATTTAAGTCTCTACGAAGATTCTTGAAATCTCACATGGGACTTAAATATTTTATTAATTTGGATTATAAAAAAGAGAGTTAATTTTTATGATGGGCCTTTGGAACCCATATTAACATATAAGTTTTGCTCTCATATCTGCGAAACCTTATTGATTTACACGATACAAGATTATCTTAAATATTTGCAGAGATTCAAAATTTCACACAATAAAAGGATTAAATAATATTCACTTTAAATGCATTTTAATGCGTAATTATACAACGTATATTTTTAAATGTAAAAATTTTAATCGTTATACCTGCGAAGTCTTATTGACTGATGCGGTAGTATAATTATCCTACAGGTCTACGAAGTTTAGAAAATCTCACATGACCACAAGATCTAATTAGATTATAATTCAAATTTATTAATTTAATTAATTAATATTTTAAAAATGTTTATTATTTTATTTACAAAAATTCATTTATTTATTTACCATACAAATTGTGAATCATGTTATCTGCAAGGATTTATTATCCTACATGATAAGTTAATTAATTTAATTCTCTATGAAGATTCTTGAAATCTCACATGAGACTTAAATATTTATTATAAAAAGAAAATTAATTTTAATAATGGGCCTTCGGAACCCATATAAATACCTATAAGATTGATCCTCATACCTGCAGAATCTTATTGATTTACATGATATGAAATTAGTCTAAATGCCTACGAAGATTCTTAGAATATCACACAACGAATAGATAATCAAAATATTTGCATTTGCAATCGATGCATAATATTATGGTTGGCTAAACAATTTACGTAATAAAGGCAATGGAAAGAATAAATTAATTTGATAATTCACTATTCTTTTGACTTGACGATATATTCTAAAAAAAAAAAGATTTGGCATAAACTTTTAGCAAGATCATAACCACAATAGACACAGCTCCAAACCACAATCAACCTCACAAATGATCAATAATATTTTCACAGGCTCTCTATTTTTTTTTTTTTTAGACATCTCTCAAGTATGTTCTAAATTCTACATAAAAAAATATTTAATTCTTAAATTTTTTTAATGCCTAAACATATTCTTAATATTTATCATATATATATATATATATATATATGTTCATCAATGAATGTAAGATTAAGGGAGATGACATGATTTAAATATTAGCTGAGCAGGCCGTCAGATATGCATTCTTCTTCCTTCTCCTCTTTTCCTCAGAGATACTATCATATTCATCACTGCTAGCATCACTAGATTCTGAGGACCGTTTCTTTGCCTTTCTCTTGGATTTCTTCTCTTTCCTTCTATCATGGTCACCCAAGTCAGAGTGAGAATGCTTCCTATGCTTCCTGTGAGCTCTTCTACTGGACTTCTTATACTCATTGTCACTGTCATAATCTGAGTCAGAGCCAGATCGTTTTTTATGTTTTGCAGCCTTCAACTTCCTCTCTTTAGCTTCAGCATCAGCTTTGGCCTTAGCAGCAGCTTCCAGCTTCTGCTCCCACTTCAAAGGAGCCTCCTTTCTGTCCATAATTCTCTTCTCTCCTTCCTCGGTTTTCTTCTCGTCTTGATGCTCTGTTTTTGCTTCCGGTTTTCTCGTCATCTTCCTCTTCTCTTCGTCTCGGTTTTCTCTCTCATTCTCGTGCTCTTTTTTTTTGTTTTTTCTGCATTTCGTTTCTCTCCCTCTGTGCTCTGTTTTTCTTTCGTTTTCTTGTCCGTTTCCAGCTCTTTCCTTCCTCCAGTTTTCCTCTTCGTTTTCATCTGGTTTTTTTATGCTTTATCACTGAAGCTTCCCTTTTTCTGTACACGTCTCTTTCCTTCTTTTCTTCCTTCCACTTGCGTGCATGCTGCATTTCTGCTCTGCTTTTGCCTTTTTCTATAGCGTGCATCTCTGTCTTTTCTTCAGCGTGTACGTATGGTCTTTTCTACGCTTGCTGTGTTCTGCTTCTCTTTCGCTGGTGTTTTCTCTCTGCCTGTCGAAAGTCTGTGTGTGCACATCATGGTTGCTTGCTACTCCTTCTGCTGTGTTTTCGTGTGTGCGCTTCAGCTAGTGTGTCTAGTTCTGCTTCTGTGTTTTGTGTGTGTTTCTTTTGTGTGCATGACTGCGTTTTCTCCTTCCTTCGCTTGTGTGTGGTCCGGCCTGCTCACTTTTGCCTTTTTCTCTTCTGCGTTTTCGTGTGTGTTTAGGGCTGCTGTACCTTCATGTCTGCTCTTTGCTTCTGCTGTTCTTGCTTTTGCTGTAAGGCTTGCTCTCTGCGTTTTTGTTTCTCCCTGTAACGTGCCGAGCATTTAGGTGTGTGGGTGAAACGCTGATCATCCCATATTTATTTATTTTTATGCTTAATGTTCTTTTTTTATGTCATGTTAATTAAAATTTTGGAAATTAAACTAAGAGAGAAAAAATTTAATTTTGAACTATGCAAGAATATCTTTCTTCTTCTTCTTTTAATGGAAAGGAAAAAGATTTAAGGAAAGAATTTCTTTTTTAAAAAAAATAGTTGATTCTCACAAAATTGATTCTCAATATTTTGAATGATTGGAATAATTTGGGAGAGATTTTAAAAGATTTAAACAAGATTTTTTTGATTTTGTTAAATTATTATATTTTTTAGAATATAATCCTAAAAAAGGATTAAATTTTATTTTTATATTTTTTATATTTTTTGATTATTTTAATGAACTAAAAGAAATAAAATCCTAACCAACAAAAGATTATCTAGGATAAAATAAAATTAAATCCTATTAATTATTTTTTAAAAATATAATCCTAAAAAGGATTAAATTTTATTTTTGTATTTTTATATATTTTTTTGGTTATTAAAAAAAATGCCTGGCCAAAATACTGTGTTCATAATGTTCTTCTAAAAAAAGTTGATTTCTTCTTTTGTAATGACAAAGCTGTTAAATTTTATGATATGAATGGGTTTTACTATGATGTAATTTGATCTTATAGATAGAAAGAATTCTGATATACGAGCATCATTAATGTATTGATATATTTACTATTGTGGTCGATTATTGATAAAAAAGAGTTAAGAGTAAATTCAATGAGTAAAAAATAAAGTTTCCTCAATTGAGCACAACTTTGTATTTTAAGGATAAATTTAAATCACTTAATGCTCAATTAGAAGATAAATTTTTCACTAATTTAATGATAATTTATATATATTGAGAAGGAAATAGCTAAAAATTTATTATAGACATAATAATTGATGATTTTTATACCATGGAAAATTGAAGAATAAAACTTAAAAAATAAAGGTGCAAATATTTATTTTTGTTATTGTTTTGTAAAGTTGAATATGAATATAGGCATTGGAACATTTACACTATGTTAATGATGTATATAAATTTAACTTTCTTTCTAATATCATATATGCTTTGTTATCTTAGCCTTCTCTAATTAAAATTTATGGCTCCGCCCTACCCATAGCAATCCTTCACCTTCTACAATGGCAACACTCTTCCAAGTTTCGAATTGGTTGAACCACCGTACCATTCACATTTTGAAATCCATATCATTTGGCGCATTTTTCACTGCCTTTGAGCATTTTTGGGTCTTTTGTAGAATTTATTGAAAAATATTTCATGCATGCTTCATAAGAGATGAATTTTGGCTTGGTTTATATCATTGTCAAGTTTAATGATATATTATACACCGGGGGACCTTTTGCCGAGGTGAACTATGCCTATAGGTAAATTTAGAAGTATTTTGATTTTTGGAGCAAAACTAAGTTAGGCTGCTACCCAAAAATATATGTATATATACACAGTGAGGTAAAAGAAAAATGTATTTAATAGTTGATAATTCAGTGGACATGGTTTATCCAATGGATTGGGATCTTCAAGCAATAATCACTTTAATAAAAGTTATACATGCAATTATTTTTTTAAGAAAAAAATTAACAAATTTCTTAAATGATATTCCCTTCTTCTAAAAAAAAATGTGACTTTGAGATTTTCTCAAAAATTAAGGAAGACGTTAAATAATTTTAACTTATTGTAAAACAATTCATAAAAAAAATTGTTATCGTAATGCTACTTTACTAAAATGCCTGACTTCAATTAATTTTTGAATGAATGTCAATTCAGCGCTGAAAAATACAAGTTCGAATAATTTGGCTCTATAAATATTTAAATAGAGTATTGATAAAGGGAAAATAGAAAAAATAATTAATAACTTATCATAATTTTGAAACAACAATTATTTATAATAACTTTGAATAATTAATACTAATGGGGTTAGGTGTAGCAGAAATGGCCTGCATCTCAACTGGCGAGCTAAGTTGAGTTCTCACTAAGAAAAATGCTCATATTTTAGTGTCAACTGTGTCACAAATATGAGAATACTTGTATACAATGAAACAATTTGAAGGGAAAAAAAAACTGTCATCTCGTCTTCGATCTCTTCCTCCACCCAGCCCCATTGTTGAACCTCACTTTTGTTTCTTTTCGTCGTCATCGCAAATCCTGCATTTCATATTCTCTTCGCATTCTACGATGCCTTTTTGATCAAGTCATCTTTAAGGTATTTGTCTCTTATGCTCTCTCGTGTATATGTTTTCTCGCTTCGTTTCCTTTGGTACTTGATGAGACTTTCTCTAATTTCTGATTCTTAAGAGTTTCGTTTCATTCTCTCTACAGTGGACTTTCATTTTCGTTCCTTTGATATAAACTTTGATTTGAACAATTTTGGATAAGCCCTTGATAAGATCCTCCATGCTCAGCGACATGATGATTTTGCAAAAATGCGCGAGAATCTGAGTGAGTATTCTAGCTAGCAAAATGAATGAAGGAATTTGTGTGCGTGAACAAGTTACAACTTAACAGAAAAACTTGCTGCAAAGGAAATGCAGTGCTTTTATACAAAGATTGAAAATTAGGCAAACGAAATAATAAAATGCTCAGACGCTACAATGCAAAGGCTAGCTCCTTCCATTCACGTAAATAGTACTCCCTCTATCTCAAAGATACTTTTGGAGAGATTTGACATTCTAAAATATGAGATATTTTAATTTTAATTTTTATTATTATTCTTCTCATATGTTATCTCTCTTTAATATATTTCATAAATACAATATTAAATGAAGGGCATTTTGGAAACATTATATTTTTACTTTGAAAAAGTTAAATCTGTAAAGTATATTTAATGAAATTTATTAGTATGAGTGATTTTATTCAAAAGTGTCATATAAATTATGACAGAGGGATTACAATTGATTACTGGAGAAACAATATAAGATGGACACATAGAAAATACAAAATATATTACAGTTATGCACAGGGTAACTAATTACATAATTAATTACAATCTCATTCTGAAACAAGCATTACTCATAAACACTCGTCCTTGAGCTTGTAATCAAAATGGTTTCTCAAAAATTTAGGCTTTCACTAATTCCTTGGAAGCTATAAATTTAACATTAAGAGATTGCTATGCAAACAACCGATATTGATATGAAATTATTGAGTTTACAGAATTTGTTTATAGTGTGTAGTAGGGCAACATAAAAGGAGGGTCAGGCAAGGCCAATATCATCCTTTCCAAATGCCCAGCCCAATGTGAAGTTTGGGCTAGCTCGATGCATGAGTTTTTAGTTTTGTCCGATTGACCTAAAAAATTTTCACAAATATTTTTAAATATATTTTAGCTGGAAGGTGTTTTAAAAATGGAATGAGTCTTTTCATCCGTCAGTCCTTAATTTCAATACTTTCATGGATTGTAATGACTCATTCCAATTCATAGCAGCCACTACCAAGTGCTCCACTTCATGTCTGATGTAGGCTTAATAGCCATTTAGTTTGAAAAGTCTTAAAACTTGAAAAGTGGTTTAGAATTTAGATTCCTCCTCCCCAGGATTGACGTTTTGGTGCTTGAGCTCTCAATTTTTGGTCATGACAATTTCTAAAACTATTCAAAATCAATGCATGCGTATTGTCCATTTCTGCACAAATTCTTCTTCACAAGCAACCAAACAATGCCCATCAAAAAGAGTCGTGATCAATACATAGCTGTGATTGGAGATTGTATTATGTATAATACAGTCTCAAAAGTAATCTTGCCCTCGCGGAAAAGTTTTAGACCTTTGCACTTCCATGAACAAAGGATCGAGTATTCGTGGCCTCAGAAAACTGAGAGAGGGAGATTGGATATTGAATGAAAATGAAATAAAATATTTAAGTAAACAAATAAGGGACCATAATAAAAAATTGTGTCAATTTTTATACAACATGTTTGCTTGTCAAGACAACTATATAATGAATTCCTTGGGTATAGTCTAAAATATATTTTTATAATATTCAATATTTGCAAGCATTACTAGTAAGATAAATTATGTAAATCTCTCCTTTACTTATTTTTTAAGTCAAATAGATTTTTTAGTTATATTTTTATAATTCTGCAGCTTTTTTGGGGAAATTCATCATTTGTTTTGTCATTATTTTCTCTTGAAGATTATTTTCCGTCAAAAATTTTAGAAAGTCTTGATCTTATTTTCATTTTCTTAATGAAAGGAAACGATTATAAATAGAAGTTTCTAATTAATGTGCTGGAGCAATCCAAATTATGAGAATTACTGTAAGATCCTAAATTTTATTATGCCACCTTAAAGAGGGCATTGGATCAAGTACTGGGACTAAAACAATAAAAACATATAAAATAAAATAAATATAGACAATAATTAAAGTGATTAAATTTAAAAAATGCT